AGATGAAATCCAACTCTTGTGCGATTTACTGCCTCTAAAAACTTACTGGAAGGTCAGCCATGATTTGGTACACAACAACATGTTAAGAGTTCTGGTGGCTTAGTGCTAAGGAGTCGTGCCACCAACCCAGAGGTGCGTGGTTTGAATCCACCAGCTGTTCCATGGGAGAAAGATGCGGAGTCTCCTCCTGTGCAATTAACTGCCTCTAAAAACCTGCTGAAGGGTCAGCTATGGGTTGGTAATAACTTGACGGTTCATAACAACATGATAAGGGGAGGTTTTGGTCCATGGGGTAGTGGCACTGCTAACTCAAAGGTGGCACCTGTCTGGTGGTTCAAATCTGCCAGCATCTCCTTGGGCAAAAGATGGGCAATATTCCCCCACGTGATTTATATCCTCTGAAGGCCTGTTGGAAGGTCAGTTATGATTCAGTTCCAATTTTGCAGCAATGCAATGAAATGAATAAGGGACTGATATATAGTAATTCACAACAAAAACTATAGGTCTTATGGTCTTTAGAGTAATAGGTCACCTTTTCTTCTAATGTTATATGCAAAGAAGTTAATAGTTATTACACTAGCTTATATATTACTTTGCTTTGCTTTGAAGAACTTTCAGTGAGAATTTCTAGGGTAAAAGAGATCTTTGTGATCAATAATGTTCAATCTTTTCCTACTTCAGCACACTTGATGGGAGTGGAGTTGGGAAATATGTTTTCTTAGTGGAGGAGGCAGGAAGGGGTGAATGTCGTTAAACATTTGACATCTGTGGAACATATAGTGACCACCTATGTTTTCTGCCTCTGGGGCTTGATGGGAAATGGATACCACTTTTAGTATGTGCTACTATCTGTTGGTGGCCTATAGAGAGTGGTGAATCTGAATAGAAGGCCTCATACTACCAACTTCAGAACCAGAGACCTTCCTTGGGATATTTATGTCTTACATCATACTTGGAAAGAGAGGAATATCCTCAATGAAAAGGACTGACAGTGACTACAGCAATGGCCTCAAGTATGTCAGAGATGCTGAGGTTGGCACAGGATAGAACAGGGTTTAGATCTGTTTACAGCGTCATTATGAGTCATACTTGACTCAATGACACATAACAGCAACAACTAATTGTAACAAAATCCTATTACCTCAAATTTTTTTAAGTTTATTCAAAATGTTTTCCATGATTTCAACAGAAAATTTAAAGCATAAAATTATTCTCTTAGAACTGAGTTTAAAAAAAAATGAGGGTCGTTCTTATTAGTTATACCAAGTCCCAAGAGTGAAGTCTCTAAGGGAAAAGAGGCAAGATAATGTCTGGGACAACAACAACAAATCAAGACTAAATTCCAAGTTTCTGGATTCCCAATGTTCTTTCAACTGCACCAAAATACCAAATCCAAGGAAACCCCCTGCCCCCCAAACCCCTAAGTTTTAGTAAAAAATTATTATTTTGTCGACATGTATGAAAACAGTTTCGAGGGCCTCACAGAAGATTCAAACCAATCTATACTCAACGATCTAACCTGTCTTTAAAGCTGTGGTTCATACAGAAAATAAAACCAAGAATTCAGAGATCATATTGAAGGGTCTAGGAAACAAACTAACCAACAAAAGACCAAATTTAAAAATAAAAACACCAGAATGTGTTTTATAATCAATGAGTCATTATTAAGATGCTGGCTATCAACTGAACTCAGTCACTGCTGTGGAGTTGGAACCAATTCAAAGCTGACCATTGAGTGGGTTTTCAGAGGTGGTAAATCTCATAGCAGGTGTTTGCCCATTTTTTTCCACATGGAGCACCTGGTGCATTTGAACTGCATATGGGAATCCCAGAACATTTGATTGTGCTTATGTAGAACCTATAGTTGGACCAGGAGGCAGTCATTATAACAGAGCAAGGAGACATGGTTTAAAATCGGGAAGAGTGTATGCCAGGAATATATTCTGTATCTATATCTTTTCAATCTATATGCAGAACAGATCATCCAGGAGGCTGGGCTGTACAAGGAGGAATGTGGCATCAGGATTGGAGGAAGATTAATCAACAACCTGTGATGCAGATGACAAAACCCTGCTTGCTGAAACTGAGGAGAACCTGAAACAATTGCTGCAGAAGTTGAAGGACTGAAGCCTTCAATATGGATTGAAGCTCAACATCAAGAAAACAAAGATTCTCACCACTGGGCTCAATAGACAGCATCATGACAGATGGCGAAGTGATTGAGATTATTAACAGCTTTAGTTTGCTTGGCTCCCCAATCAACACTCTTGATACCAGCAATCCGGAAATCAAGAAATGAATTGCATTGGGAAAGTCTGCTGTCAGGGACCTTTCCAGAGTACTGAAGAACAACGATGTCAGTCTGGAGACTAAGTGCACCTGATCTAGGCCATAGTCTTCACAATTGCTCGTTATGTGTCTGAGAGCTGAACAATGACTAGGGATGATAGAAAGAGAATTGATGTTTTAGACATGTGGTGCTAGAGAAAAGTTTTGAATATACATGGACTGCTAGGAGAATAGGTCCTTCCCAGCAAGGGTGAAGCCAACCTGCTTTTTGGAGGCAAAGATTCTGAAGCTTCATCTGACATACTTTGAACATGTTTCAAGGAGGGACCAGTCCTTGGAGAGAGGCATCATGCTTGGAGGGTGGAGGGATGGAGAAAAAGAGGGAGACCATCGATGAGATGTATTGATACACTGACTGAAGTAATGAGGGTAGGTATGTTGGAGACAATAAAGTTGGCACAGGCTAGACCAGGTTTCAGGGCTGCTGCACATAGGGTCGCTTTGAATCACAAACAACTCAATGACACATAACAACAACAACAAGAGCAACAATCATTGCATTGGCAGCACAATTCCTTAGTACTAAGCCACCAGAGCTCCCAATTATGGTTTTGGTGAGGAGCAATGAATATACATACCCTGGACTGCAAAATATACCAAACAAATCTGTCCTGAAGGAAGTGTAACCAGGGTGGGTGCTCCTTGGAGGCAAGGATAGTGAAGAAATTTCATCTCACATACTTTCAACATGTTAGGAAGGGCCATGGAGAAGGACCTATGGAGAAGGACATCATGCTTGGAAAGGCAAACGGTCAGCACGAGAGAGGAAGGCCCTATAACAATGAGCTTTAGTATATTGGAGATGGTGAGGATGGCACAAGATAGGACAAAGTTCAGATCCATTGTTGATGGGGTTGCTTTAAGTTGCAGTCAACTTGACAGCACATAACAACTGAACTGAACCTTTAACCCAGAAAAAGGCACATACACATTTCTGCATTCAATTTTAGTCAATCCATGGAACTGTGAAGCAGTAGCCATAGATTCCCTAAGGCACTCCTACACTTTGTAAAAGCTTGGGAGCTGCAGCATAGCCATGTAATAAATTCACTGTAGTTGGTGTAGCTGAGAAACTAGGAAAACAAAAATATGGGTCATATGGGCAGCTAAATTCTGTAGTCAGAGATTAAGTCATAAAATAGAATATATCTGGAACTGTTGCAGAGCCTCACAGAAATTGTGGCCTTTCTATAATAGATAACAAGAATGTTCCCATTTGCCTGGTTCTTCTATCATATCTTCTCAGCTAAGATTTATTACTGATTCAACACTTATTCACTGAGACCCTACACACACAGTACCTATGGTCTACATAATTTGGTGATTTAAAAATTAACAAGTCACTTCATTAAAAATGTCAGGAATTTACAGATTACCTGAGGCTTGTTCCATTTGTTCTATTCACTGAGGAACTAGAATGAGTTTTCTTTTATACCTCCCAATCCCACTACCTAAGCCCTACTGGGCATGCATTTATTTTGTGATCATGCAGAAAACATCAGAACTAAGTTACTTCCCCTGTCATCAATTCTATCCCCAGCATTAAATAAACAACAAAGTTTAATTCTCTAAAAAGATGCTTTCCTGGTTAATATTTATAAAGGTCAACAATCAAAATCTCTATGCACAAGACTTTTATAACAATAACACAGTTCATGTTTACAAAACTCATTATAGTTACTGGTCATTAAGTCTTTGACCCAAAAGTTTTGCAAGTTTGTGGGCTCACTTATTCTAAACAATTACTTACAACATCAAATTGAAATAAAAAAATTTAAAGACTCAATTTCAGTTCATTAGATTTTATAACCATGAAGTGTTCAAAATGCTTCCGTAAATTGAGCTTAACTTTCTCTTGTTAATTTCTTTTGCTCTGTACTTCATTAGCAATTCAGAAGATCACGATTTTTATTTAGCTCCAGTTCATGCTCCACTAATTTTATTGACTGAATAGCTAACCCAAACTGAGAAATTATCTTTTAAAAGTATTTTAAGGGTTTTAAATGAGTATTTCCCTGATTTGAAAAGTAAAATTGGTAGTTTTCCAATATTTTTTCCCTGAAATGCAACTAAAATATATTTTGTGTTATGTTATTATGTTAATAAGCTTAACATTCTTTTCAACGCAAGATGGCTTACTATAGCACTATAGCTATTTTAAAACTGTCTATTTTATTTTAGAGGAAAATAGTTCATTAAAAAGATATGTATACATGGGTTATTATTTTATTTTAGTGTTTATGAATGCCAAACTTAGATTACATGGATCCCAATCTAAAATTTGGTCCACAAAAATATTTAAGTTTTCTTCCTACAGAAAACAAAATTAAAACTTAACAGTTAAAATAATAAAATTTTAGCATAGGCCTCAGTGAGCTTGGAAAACAAATTAAGATATTTAATAATTAATGGAGGAACATTCTAAAATCCACCCAGAAACAGTAGGCAAAGTAACTGATGTGGTGTTATCGGTGGTGTTCAGCTTTAAGACAGGGGTAGGAGGTGCTGAAGACTCACAATAGCCACCAAGTCACTTACTTCGACTTACACAAAATTCAATAAAGAATATACAACAGAACAATTTAAACAATTATTCAACAGTTATGAATACCTTGAATACAAGTTGTAAGCTTAGAACAAGTACCTCAGCGGGAAAAACATTCAACATGTTTCTAAGACATTGAAGGTGAGGAAACATCATTCACAAATGATGTCTTGTGCACAAGTATATTAGTTTCCAGAACACTGGGAAAAACCATAAACCATACAACGAATGAATTTCAACTGCTTAACCTTCTACCATTCTCTTGAGTATTAAGCCCAGGCCACCCTTGGCCACTTGCAGGGGTGTCTTTTCTTCTTTGTTCTCAACGTAAATACTTGCTCCTTGGGACACCAACAGTTTTGCTTCTTCCAATCTCTCTTCATCACAGGCTAAATGTCTGAAATTGGGGATTATAAATATCATTAATCATTACCAATTCAATGTAATGGTTAAGATTACCAGCTAGCTAGCCTAAATTGCATCTTTTTAGGCAGTGGCAATACTGAGAAGTTATTTAATCAGCAAAGGACAATCAACACTGGGGAAGACTGTTCATAAGTTAAAAACCAGTGAAATAGCTTTATACCAGATTTTAAATGATAATTTTTGCTCTTACTACAGTCAAAGGGATCTAACTGCCAGCCTAAGAAATAGCAACTTTCTCATTTTATGGAGATCAGAAAGTTTCCCTAAATATGCTCCCACTAAGGAGCTCTGGTGGCCGTTGTAAGAAGCAGTGCTGGAACCCCGAAAGCATGTGGTTCAAATCCACCAGCTGCTCCACAGGAGAAGGATAAGCAATCTTCTCCCACATGATTAAACTGCCTCTAAAAACCTGCTGGGGGGTCAGCTATGGTTCAGTCCCAACTTCGTGATACACAATACTATGACAAACATGTTGGTATTACAACTTCAGGGTTACAATTTAGGGAAGTTCCAATTCATAATGTTAATAATAACACTCTATGTTCGTGTGGTTTAAATTTTGGGAAAGTTTAGATGATTTTGTCTCATTTGATCTTTGTTTAACTAGGCATTATCATTAAGGTATAACAGTTGAAACTGATAAAGGATCATCCCCCACCCCATAATGGCATGGTTGAACAGCAATAACTGAATAATAAGCAATAACTGAACAGGGAAAGAAACTGTTGTTAGGCACTTATAGTTTGCCAAGTAGGATGGCAGATATTGTACATGCTACATTATTTAAACCTCTCCACAACTGACTAAGAAAGGAATTATATCCTCATATTACAGAGAGGAAATGAAGATTCAGGTAAGCTAAATAATTTCCTCAAGATCAAAGATCTGGTAGGTAGGAGAACTTAGGTAGGGGAACTTAGATTGGATAAATGAAAAGCAGCTTAAAAAAAAATCAGTTGTTACTGAGTACATTCTGACTCACAGATACCCTATGTGTTCATGGTAATATATTAGCATCTAGCTAATCCTGAATCCTATGCTCTTTCCAGAAGCCTATCCTGTCTGACTTATAGAATTCCTCTAGGCCATTCTGCCTTTCTAGTTATGGAGAAAAGAACTAGAACAGGATCTCTCTAATGAAACTCCCTCAGAATTCTGGAAAAAGATTAAAAAAAAACAAAACTAAAAAAAGTTGGCTTAAGGTCAAATTGGAAAAACAAATACAAGATTCATAGAATTTCTGGTTCAAAATAATAATATCACTCTAACAAATAAGAAAATGAGCCAAGTAACATTAGGGAAAGAAAAATCAAAGTAGAGGCTGGGCTTAGGTCACACACATACATCAGGTCCAAGTGGTTTTAAGATGCAAAACAATGGTGGCTTAAGAGGAAGGAATTCTGCTGTCAAACCAAAGGCAAAAGGTTCAAATCTGCCAGCTGCTATGCTGGAGAAGTATGGGCAATCAACTACCATGTGATTTATTGCCTCTGCAAACCTGCTGGAGGGTCAGGGTACACAATGACGACACTCTAAGAAAACCAATGAAACACTAAAAACAAACAAGCAACAACCCAGCTACAATAAAAAAATAAGTCAATATTTAACTAATTGCAAAATGCAGAACTTTCTAGTCATGAGGGAGAAGTAATAGGCTATACTACACAGAAATGTAAAATTTCTATTATTTGTACAAAATATGAAGTATCTTCAACTAACTTGACAAAAGATTTATATTTTTACTACATCAAGTAAAGATCACTTAACATTGGTAAAATATAATTTCCTAGAAAGGAAACTGAGAAAAGGACACAAAAAGTCACTATTTATAGAAGATAAATACCTAGCCGTAGACATTTACAGATGGTCTACTTCAGTGAAAAACTTAAAAGAGCAAATCACAACCATGCAATACTGTTTTCAAATAACAAAAGGATAATTTTTGTGTTAGGGAAGAGTATTGGGCTCCCAAACTGCCCTTGGGAGGGCTTAATAATATAACTCCTCTGGAAGCAATTGTAATACATATCAACAGTCTTAAAATGGATGTTTTCACTGGCCCAGGAATTCTACCTCAGAAGTCTACATTAAGGCATTTATCAACAATGTGGCCAAATGTCTTGTACAAAATTAGTACTATACACAATTATGGAAAAATAAAAACAACAACAACAAAACAGTTTACATATATAATAACAGAGTAAAGACTATATTATGGTATATCGATAAAATGGAGTTTTATATAGCCATTAAAATTTTTTAAAACATTTTAATGGCACTAGAAAATGCTCAAGACTATACCACTAGGTAAAAACAAAATATAAAACCAAATACACAGCTTATCAAATGTTTGTTTCAAAAGTTAAGATACATGTGTATATTTAAAATATACTCATTTATATACAAACCCTAGGAGAGCATCCAATGATGTTATCAGTAGTTATTGTTGGGTAGGAAGATGAAAGGCAATTTTCATTTTCTTATTTTTGTGCACTTGCCAAAAAAAATTTTTTTTTGGCCATATATATGTATTACATTTTTAAGCAGAATTAAAAAAATATCACGTGGAAGAATTACTGCAAGAGGGCAACTATCTTGTCACTTACAGAGGAGTGTTACCCTCAGTGTCTTGGATATTTGTGGATGCTTTGTAGTACAGAAGTATATGAATCATCTTCAAGTTACCCTTGGCTGCTGCCCGGTGCATTGCTGTAGCCTCAAAATGGTCCTTAGCATCTGGATTAGCCCCACCTTCCAGTAACATGACGGCAATCTGGAAAGATATGGAAGAAAATAAATACAAAGGCCCATTTGCATTTGTGTGTATGGTTACATCTCAAAAGAAGTAGCCTGGGGATGGGACCATACCTCATGCCTGTTCTTGGAAGCTGCATAGTGCAGAGGAGTACAGCCATTTTGATTGACAGCATTTACTTGAGCACCTTTTCCCAGAAGGGCTTTTACGATCTCATCTCGGCCAGCAGAAGCAGCAATATGAAGAGGTGACCAACCTGCCTATAAGAGATGTGCAGTACCAAAACCAGGGGAGAAGAAAAGGAGTGCAGATATTAATGACAATACTATAGTAAGTGTTTTCAAGGAGCTTTCTGTGAATGGTTTATATAAAAAAACCCCAACATTCCTCATCAGCATTGTAGAAAATTTAAAAACCAGAATATATAAAAAAGAAAAAAGTCCATAATCTTGTAACAAAGAGATAATTATATTCCAATCAGCTGAGTTTTGTTTCACTTTATTATTTTTTAAATAAAAATTGGCATACGATCTAAAGTTTGTGGGCTTCGTTTTTGTAATTATTTTGTTTTGAGCATCCTTCACAACTGTAACTATAATGGGTGCATTTTTATCACATGGGTAAATCTTACCATATTCAACCATACCCCCATCATGAGACTTTCATTTCTTTGCTATTAGAGCTATTTAGTAAACATCCTTGAAAAGGATTTTTTTTACCTACAAAATGTATTCCATCCTTATTCTTCACAAATGACCAATGCCATTATAATAATGGGCCGCACGCAAATCGATGGCACACAACAATATATATATAATAAAATAATAAATAAATTAAAAAACAGCAAAATAGATTATCTCAGCCTTCATTATTCAGGCATTAGAGATATACACACACCTCAACATAATAAAAATGGTTTGTAGGGTTAAACCGGGCGGCTCCTTGGAGGCAAGGATTCTGAGGCTTCATCTGACATACTTTGGACATGTTGTAAGGAGGGACCAGTCCTTGGAGAGGGACGTCATGCTTGGGAGGGTAGAGGGACAGCGCAGGAGAGGAAGACACTCAATGAGATGGATTGATTCAGTGACTGGGGTAACTGGGGTGGGTGTATCGGAGATGGTGCGATTGGCACAGGACAGAGCAGAGTTTAGGGCTGTTGTACATAGGGTCCCTACGAGTCAAAAGCGACTCGACAGCATATAACAACAGTTTATCTTACAGTGAACTATAGAGTAGGGTAATGGGAGTAGATGTGTTGGAGACAGTAAGATGGACTCAGGGTAGGGCAGGGTTCAAAGCTACTGTACATAGGGTCGTTTTGAGTTGTAAGTGACTTGAGAGTGCATAACAGCAACACAGAGTTTACTGAAATACACCTCGATTTTTATTACTTATCCATTTCTATATCCTGCTAGGGGATATAAGGCAAAAGAAAGTTATATTGTTTATTAACATTCAAAAATGATGTGAGCATTCATCCTGTGTTTCATAAACAGGAACCGAAGGCTTGATTTTTGAGAATCTCATGTTGGTAGGCAAGGCCATGCTGTAACTTTCTAGTTTTATAAAGGTTGCAATTTTGTCTGGCCTAAAAAAATACTCAGGCGTCATTAAATGCCAGTCTGGAGTCTAAAGATAACTGGTTATTTTATCAATGCTGCCTAATACTTACATCATCTTTATCATTCACTGACACTCCAAGTTGCAGCAAGAATTCAACTATTTCTGTATGTCCTGCGGAGCATGCCCAGTGCAATGCAGTTCTGTTATCCTACACATGAAACAAGAGAGGCAATAAGATCAACAGTCTTGAAGAGAAATAAAAGAACCAAAGCAAGAAAGCAGGAAAAAAAATAAGAGAATCAAAGACAATCTATAGCTGAAAACAAGAAATGGAGAATACTGGATTTTCAGGTAGGAAACCCTGAACTTACTAGAGTAAATATATACTTACTAATATAAGACACACCAAGTATTATTAGATAGTAACAGTAAATAATTATGGAATATTACCAGGCTATAATGAAAGTAAGCCAGGAAATATATACAAAACATACTTATAATGATGGGGCCATTTTTAGATTGGAGACTAAAGGAAAGCTCCAGGAAAGAAGTCATTCAATGTCTAGGTTTTAGTAACATAGGAGGGACTGCATTTATCAATCCCAGATAATGAACCAGAAATCCATTTCAATACTTTGGCAGAAGCAGAGCTTTGGTTGCCTACTAGTATTTATTTATGTGCTTTAAAACAACATGTATGCTTATAGGGACAAAAAATTATTTAAATATCATTATGGACTGCAAAAAGAACAGATAATTCTTGGACAAAGTGCTGTGAGTGTTCCTTGGAGGCAAAGATAACAAAGCTTTGTCTCACATACTTTGGACATGTTGTTAGGAGAAGTAATTCCTTGGAAAATGACATCATGCCTGGGAAAGGTGGAGGGTCAGCAAAAGAGAGGAAGACCCTCAATGAGATAGACTGATACAGTGGCTGCAGCAATGGACTCAAGTATAGCAGAGATGATAAGGATGGCACAGGACGGGGAAAGGTGCAGATCTGCTGTTGTTCATAGGGTTACTGTAACTTGCACGCTCTCCTCTCTCCAAGGCACATAACAACAATCACCATTATTATAAAAAAAGGGGGGGGGGGAATCAAACATACCAGACAGTGTGTTAGGAATTTTATATGCAATGTTTCATTTAATCCTCATAGGATGATGTTAAGTACTACTGAGTGGGAATACTCATAGCTAGTTGACCCTAGTGGGTTTTCAGGGGCTGTGAATGACACAGGAAACTGCCCATCTTTCTCCCATGGAGCAGCTATGAAACATATGCTCTTGGGTTGGCAGCGCAATTCCTTACCACTAGCCCATCTGAGTATTACTTTCATTTTATGGAAAAGGAAACCATAATGTATTAGGGTAGGCAACATGTCCACAGTCAAAGGTAGTAAATTCATGCAGTTGGTACAAAAACACGTGCTTGACTATGAAATTTCTACTATCACTCTGATCAAGTTAGATGTTCCTGAAAGAACGGGGACTTAGGAGGCTGAAATGCTCATAAAAGCATTTAGTTTATGTATGTTGTTGTTATGAGCTGTCGAGTTGACTCTTAACTCATAGAAACCCTATGAACAATGGATCTGAACCCTGCCCTATCCCATGCCATATATATTTCTATTTAAAGAACACACCAAATTAGTATGCGATAATATTTAATAATTGTTTATAAGTGAATGGCAGTTATAGTTCCTTATTTGTAATGACTGCTAGATTTCTTAAAATACTATTAAAGTAGTATTCAATTTTTATCACAGAAACTTCAAATACACATAAAAATAGAAAGAATATATTAAGAACTCACACCTACCACATGGATTTAATAATGAATATTTCACCATATTTTTTCTTTGCTGACTTTTTTTGGGGGAGCAAAAACCAAATATTAAGACCCCCAAAATTTCAGTATGACTCTCTAAAAACATGATGCTGTCTGATATAACTACCAAATCATTATTACACCTGTTAAATATCAAAGGTCCGGTGTGTATATATACTTCCTCACTATAACTCAACTGTCTTTATGCAGGTGGTTTGCTTAAATTAGTGTGCAAGGCAAGATCTTTAACTTGCAATTGACTGCTGTTTAAGTTCCTTGATCTCGAATAGTGCTCCATTTTTTATGCCAGTGACGTGAAGAATCATTAAATTTCAAGAGTATTACTAAATCTTAATAGTAAATAATCTAATTATTCAATATTACCAGACTATACTGAAAGTAAACTAGGTCAGGCCATTTTCTTTTTTATTTTTAATTTATTTTAATTAAAGTTTACAGAGACATTGGATTTCCATTCATTCATTGTTGTACTTTTCTCCCAGCCCGCCCTTCCTCCCAATTAACTTTTTTCTTTGAAAAGTAAAAAAAAAAAAAAAGTCTTTGTTATTCAATCGCTCCCCTCAAGTCCACTCCACTATGCTACCTTCGTTCTGGACTCCTGTCATAACAATAATATCATATATCCCTTTTAAAGAGTTCTCTCCCTCACCTGTTTCAATACAGTATATATTATTTATCCCCTCTTTTTCAGTCTCCCCTCAACCCTGATGTCAGTTCGGTTTTACAACAGTGGCACTACGCAGTATTTGCCCTTTTGTGACTGAGATATTTTATTCAGCATAATGTCCTCCAGGGTCATCCATACTGTATAGTATTTCATGAGATCTTTGTTTTTCAATGCAGCATAGTATTCCATTGTGTGAATATACCAGAGCTTCTCTATCCATTTCTTTGTTGATGGGCACTTGGATTGTTTCCATCTCTTTGCTACTGTGAACAAAGAGGCCAGGCCATTTTCAAGGCTGGCTGAGTAATAATGGAAAATTCCAGAAAAGAAAACAAGTGTCCTGATTTCGAATTTTCTCCTAAAATGGAGATATATATGTGTCACTCTCTCTAGTTGGAGGCAAGCAATCTTGGAATATTTGTTGTTATACTGGGGACGTTGAATCTTTCGAGAAACTTGGTGAAAGCATGAGGGTCCTTTGGAAAGAAAGGAACACTTCTCAAATGTCCATTCACTTTTTGTTCTGTCTCTCCTTAGAGTGCCCGTTCATCCCGCACATTCTTTCTTCTAGTTCAAACTCTCCCTGCTTTGCAAAGCCTTTCCCAGTTGGCAAAATCCAGCTCCTCTTAAGGGTTGTTAAGTCAGGTGCTCTCGTCACACGCTCTGAAAATAGGACGTAAACTTCTCCCACACGCGCTTTAGTGACGCTCTGACTAATAAAGTCTGGCTGCCACCACTCAACCACATCCTAGGCGCCTAGTAAATTGCCCAGCACCTTAGAGATGCTCAGATTACACGTGTTTAAAGGAATAAATTCGCTGATATAGGCGTTCCCCCTCCTGAAGAGCGCAAAGATGGGGAGCTTGGCTACAAAATTCAGGATGGGGGACGTTCTAGAAAGATCTCAAACTCTGGGGACAAAAACAGGGTCCCCGAAGCCTTGAGTGGGTACTCCTGCGGTTGGATTTGGAAGGCGGGAAGAGAGGCTACCTCTTGCCAAGAGGCCTAAACTCGGACAGGGCCCAGGAAGCAACTGCGCTGCTGCTTTACCTGATCGGTTCGAGTAGCCAGAGATTTATCGGCCAGGATGATCTCCTTCAACTCCTCCAGCTTCCCGTTGTAGGCCAGGTTGCATACCGTTAGGTTCGATACACACCCCTCCATTTCGCTTTCTTCACGCTCTCTGAGAGGCTTGACCAGAGACCACCCTACAACGTCAGCTCCACCACCAATCACAAATAGGCCTTAAAGCCCCACCAATCAGAACTGTTTCTCGTTCCCTCGCTTCTTTTTCCCATCGCGGGGTGTCTCTGGGACTTGTAGTTTGGGAGCAGTTCCGGGTTGGAGACCTGCCTCTTCCTCCCCCACCGGCTCTCTTCGGGGCTGCACTTGAACTACAAGTTCCAGGATCCCTTGCGGCTGCCATACTTAAGTGGCCAGTGGAATTGGCCCAGGATGACAGCTGGAGAATGGAGTCAGGTAGGGGAGCGGCTTCTGGAGGAATCTTGTGATAAGAGTTGGGTGGGTGGTTGCCCATCGGATCGGCCACACAGAATGGGTGCGGGATCGAGGCGAGAACATTATAGGACCCTAAAAGGTTTTGTCCCCCTGGGGCCCTGACCTGCAGTGCTGGGCGGAAAGGACAACGGTTGGAGCTGGGAACAACCTCCTAAACTGTACGGGTAATTGTGGTTACCCTCCCCCTCTCTTCCAAAGGAGAAGAAAGTAGTAGAGGATAGTTACTCTGACATCTCCGCAGAGTGGCCTCAGGGCAGGCTTCTGTCACAGCTGTGATAGCATATGATACCATAGTAAGGTGATGTGCCAGGGTGATGCCAACGATAGGGTGTGATGCCACGGGAGCTACTTGATATCTAAGAGACCTCTGTCAGTGTACGTCACAGGGACATCATAACTTGGTGAGAGGCATCCTAGACAATCTGTGGTATGTTGTTACTTTAATGTGATGATAATGGTGACATGGAGGCTTTGGTAAAACTATTAAGCTACTAGTGTTTCTATTTATGGGAATCCAAGTAGTGCAATAGCAAAAAAGATGCGAGGCTTACCCTTTGGAGGGCTTATCTGGAGGGCTGGGGATATGATGGCAAAATTAGATAATGTTAAAAATACATTCAAGAACGAGACTGATTATGTTTATGTGTATCCTGCCTTTGCAGCCCCAAAGACAAAAAAAATCAAGGATATTATTTACATAACACAAAAGAAAACTAATGTCAAAAAATAGTTGTCAATGAGATGAAATAGAATAAGAATTATTTACCTTTTTTATAATTTTAACATAATTTATTACATAGAATGAATACTTATAGAATCCTTACTATATGTTAAACAGAATCCTTACTATATGTTAAACACTATTTACAGCACTTTATGAAAACACATTTCATCTTCACAACAACTCATGAGACGAGTACTATTTTTATCTCCATTTTAAAAGAGGAGAAACTGAGACACAGAGTAGTAAAATAACTTGGTCAAGCTCACGTGGCAGTGATAGCAACCTTTTTGTAACACAGAACTGCTAATGAGAGAAAGGGAATTCTTGGGTGGGAATAATTTTTTGATTAGTTGGAATTCAAAGTTAGTGTTTACTATTAAAAAAATCTTCCAAATGTTCAATGTCAATGTTAATTTATAATGAAACTTTTTATATTTCATCTTTAAAACTGTCTTGCTACACAAATATGTACAGCCATATACCTGGTATCAGTCCACAAACCTGTGGCTTTTTTTTAAATGTAATTTTTAAACTTAAATGATTTTTAAAATTTTAATAAAGGCTCAACTTTATAGAAAAGTAACAAAGGAAATACAGAGTTTCCATCTTTACCTCACTCAGTCTCCTCTCATTTTAGTTTTTTAATATATTTTAACAGCCACCACAGAGATATATTTTATATATCATAAAATTCACCCACTTGAGTAACTTTACAAAATGGTGTAACTATTATAAATCTGTCTGGAGACATTTTCACTCCTCCATAAGATCCCTCACACCCATTTACACTTAGTCAATTTTTTTGTTTGAAATGACATTGGGGTTAACTTTTAATTCTGAGTCACTTTAGGCAAAAAGGAAGGTACCCTTGCTCTTTGACTTTTTGAGCTACAAGGCAAATCAATCTTTAAGGGAGAAGTTATCTCCTTTGTTGGTGGTTTCAAGCTTTTGAGGAATTAAGCAGTTGCTACTTAAGTCCATGGAAAGTCAAAAGGGGTCCTTTAAGGTTTGACTCCTTCGCTGCTCATGTAATTACATGTCCCCTTTTGCCAATTCTGCTGGCCACCTGGATTCTAGGTCCTAGAGCAAGCCAAGGGAACTCTGATAGCTTAGTGGCTAAAAAGTTACATTGCCAACCCCAAGGTAGGCTGTTCAGATTCATCATCTGCTCCATGGGAGAAGGCAGTCTCCTCCCCAGCAATGTACAGCTTCTGAAAACCCACTGAAGGGGCAACTATGAGTCAGTTCTGACTTCATGGCAACAAGAGAGAATGAGAGAGTGAGCGCCACAATGGAGTGAGTGTGCAGGAGCAAGCCAAGTTCATCTTCTAGGCTTAAAGAAGAATGCTATATATAAGTAGCGCCTGTAATGGTCATCTCTGCTTGGTATATGAGTTTATATAATTGAATCTTTACAATTTTATGAAACAGGTACTATTATCTGTTAAAAATGTAAAAAGGAAAAAAAAAACCCAGCCAAAAAACTGTCTACAAGAAATATCATAAAAAAAAAAAGAAATATCATGTCCACGGTCATATATGTACACAGTTTAGTAGATTGAAATTAAAACTGAAATCCAGAACTATTTTTACCCCAAAGACCTAGCACGTGACCATTGAAACATGTTGCCAAATATTGCATCCCTTCGGTAATGTTGTACTAATTCCTTCCAGAGTTCTTTGGCCTACACCTGTACCTATGCTGTTGTGTCGTTAGGTGCCATTGAGTCAAGTACAACTCATAGTGACCCTATGAACAACAGATCTGAACCCTGTACCATCCTGTGCCAGTCTCACACTTCCGACACAGTTTAGCCCATTGCGGCAGGCACTGTGTCAATCTACATGGTCGAGGGGCTTCCTCTCCTTCACCAACCCTCTACCCTTCCCAGAATAATGTCCCTCTACACCAAATAGACCCTCCTAGTAACATGCCTGTAGTATGTGAGGTAATGTCTTATCACCTTTGCCTCCAAAGAGCACTCTGGCTGTACATTCTTCAAGACATGTTCCTTTGGCAGTCCATGCTATATACTCTTCTCCAACATCACAGCTCAAAGGGGTCAGTTATTCTTCTGTCATCCTTATTTACTGTCCAGCTCTCAGATGCTTAGCAAGTGATCGGAAAGACCATGGCCTGAATCGGACACACCTAGGTCCTCAAACTGACATCATTACTCCTCAATAATTCGGGGAGGTTCCTAACTGAAAACTTTTCCAGTGCAGTATGTCTCCCGATTTCCTGACTGCTGATGCCAAGGGTGTTAATCGTGTATCTAAGTAAATGAAGTAGTTGACAGTTTCAATCTTTTCTCCATCTATTGGCCCTGTTTTCTTGATGTTGAGATGCAATCAATATTGAAGGCTGTATTCTTTGATCTTTTGCAATAAGTGCTTCAAGTCCTCCTCACTTTCAGCAAGCAAGGTTGTGTCATCTACATAACTCAGGTTGTTGATGAGTCTTTCTCCAATCCTGATGCCACACTCCTCTTGATGGAGTCCAGCTTCTTGAATAATTTGCTCAGCATACAGTCCAAATAGGTATGGAAAACGAATACAACTCTGACACACTCCCTTCTTAATTTTAAACCATGTAGTGTTTCCTTGCTCCATTCACACCATAGTTTCCTGGCCTAGGTGTCTGTGTTGTATGAACACAATTAAGTGCTCTGGGATTCCCATTCTTCTCAATGTTAACCATAGTTTGTTTTAGTCCACAAAGTCAAATGCTTTTGCGTAGTCAATAAAGAACAAATAGACATTTTTCTGGTATTCATTGCTTTTAGCCAGAATCCGTCTGGCATCAGCAATGATATCCCTGGTGCCATGGCCTCTTCTAAGTCCTGCTTGAACTGCTGGTAATTCTCTATCTCTGTACTGTTCTAGCTGTTTTTGAATGAAAGGGTCACTATGTGTACTCAACTTGACAGCACTGAATAACAACCACAACAAGGCTATCCAATTATTTCTGATCTATTTAATCGGTTTTGCACTGTATTGGGGGGGGAAACCCCCACACAACCCAAGTTTACAACACTTGGGTAGATATGTTTCTTTTTTCCTCTTTTCTTTTTAGGGAATTCTTGTGGCTTAGTGGGAAATAGTTGCAATATCAACCCAAATTTATCAGCTTTTCCATGGGAGAAAGTCTCCTCCCTTGTGATTTACCCGCTCTGGAAACCTACTGGGGGTGGGGAGTCAGCGATAAGCCAGTTCACAACAACAACAATTCTTTTTAGGGAGCTCTGTTGGCATAGTCCATAGCACTTTTGCTGTTAACCAAAAATCTGTGCCTCTCTAGTGATTCAAATCCATCAGCAGCTCCATGGGAGAAAGATAGGTGATCTCCTCTTATGTTATTTACAAACTCAGAAACCCAATGGAGGGTCAACTGTGAGTTTGCATAATTCAATGATAATGAATTTTGAGTACTATTCTTTTTAATTGTTCTATATGTTATACCATATAGTCTTGATAGTTGTTGTATGCCATCAAGATGTGTCTTAAAATGGGATTGAATCATTCCCCTCATTAGTATTCTTTTTGTAATTATTTTAGCTATTGGAGTTCCCTTAACTTCTCTTGCAAGTTTTAAGATAAACTTGCTGATGTGTTTATATCTAGATATAGGGACTGTTGTGGTGTGTGATATGTTACATGTGGGTGTGCTATCCAAATCTATCATCTCTTCTGAGGGAGAAAGATGGGCAGTCTCCTCCAAAGAATATTTACAGTATCAGAAAATTAAAGATCACTGTGATCTAGAATTTACTTGACAGGTTTGAATTTGGTTTTGAGTTATATGTAGAGCAAGGTCAAGAACTGCAGTCTCCAATATGGATTGAAGCTCAGTATCAAGAAAACAAAGATTCTTATCACTGGGCCAATTGGCAGCACCATGATGGATGGAGAAGAGATTGGGGT